AAAAATAACGGCTGCTTCTGGTGTTGATTCTGGTGCTGTTTCTCCTTCTGCTGCTGCTGTTTCTGCTGCTCTTGCTGCTGCAGCTGCAGCTGCAGCTGCAGCAGCAGCAGCAGCAGCTGCTGCTGCTGCTGCTGTAGCTGCTATGCTTATATCCTGGCGAGCAGCAGAAGGTCCCCCCCCTCAACGACGAGGCTGCTGCGGCCGCCCAGCTGAAATGCTGCTGCTTCTTTGGTGCTGCTGTCTCCTTTTCGTGTGTCTTTGCTGTCTCCTTTGTGTGTACCTAGTAGGCGCGCGAGCGCATTAGAAGGGCCAGTTCCTGCTGCTGTTGCTGCTGCTGCTGCTGCTGCTGCTGCTGCTCCTGCTGCTGCTGTTCCTGCTGCTGCTGCACTGCTGCGGCCTGAAGGACCCAGCCAAGAAGCAGCAACACCACGAGGCATAACAGCAGCAGCACTAACATGCAGCTGATGCAGCAGCACGGGCCCCCCCTCTCCCAGCCCCACAACAGACCAGCAGCGCAGCAGCATCCCTCCCTCTCCGCCGCTGCTGCTACCGTTGCTGCTGCTGCTGCTGTTGCTGCTGCTGGGAGCAGCAGCAGCAGCAGCAGCAGTGACGAGCCAGACCTCAGGCGCAGCACTGCCGCAGCCGCATGCACGAGAGACANAGCAGCAGCAGCAGCAGTGACGAGCCAGACCTCAGGCGCAGCACTGCCGCAGCCGCATGCACGAGAGACAGAGACAGAGGAGACAGCAGCACCCTTGTGAGCCGACCAGCGAAACACCTCCTCCTCCAGCCCCAAATCAACTGCATGCACTGTCCCCTCTCCGTCTCCATATACAACGCAGCGGAGAGCAGCACAGCTGCCGCCGCAGCATGTTGCTGTCAGGCTGCTGCTGCAGCAGCTGCCTGTACACCCCGCTGCAGCAGCAAGACAAGGCCTGCAGCAAGCGGGGCCCTCCTGCAGCACCGCCAGACAGAAACAGGTAGGTGCATGCGTTGCTTCAACAGACCAGCTGCTGCTGCTGTTGCTGATGCTGCTGCTGTTGCCTCCTCGCATTACTGCTGCTGCTGCTGCTGCTGCTGTCTGTTTCTTGGCAGCTTTTGCTGCAGGAGGTGCAGCAGCAGCAGCAGCAGCAGCAAGCCGCGCGCGCGTGTGCAGCAAGTCGTCGCAGGTTATCACCGAGACCAGACGGGGGGCCCCCGAGGGCCCCACAGCAGTTAGCTGCCACACACAGAGACAGGGGCCCTCAATAAAAGGCAAGCTGCTGCTGCAGCGGGGGGTTAGTTCAGGTGTACATACACCTGAGCGTTTTGCTGCTTCTGTGTCTGCTGCAGCAACGCTACCTAAACCCCACAAACTCGCGGCCCAGCTGGGGGCCTCAAGCCATGTGTCTTCTTCTCCGCCTGCATCCTGCTGCTGCTGCTGCTGCTGTTGACGCTTCTGCTGCTTCTGCTGCTTCTGCTGCTGCTGCTTTGCTGCTGCAGCACCCTTCACACCACCTGCAGCAAACAAGGGGCCCCCTAGACCCCTCAAGCTGCTGCGGGGGCCCCTCGCCGATACCCTGAAGGCNGGCGCTGCTGCTGCGTTTCTTCTTTGCTGCTGCTGCTGCTGCTGCAGTGCAGCAGCAGCAGCAGCAGCAGCAGGAAACCTCGAAGCAAACAGCCTAGACTGCATCACGCGAGACACAAAGGCCTCCTTTGCCTGGCCCCGGAGGCTACCCAGCAGCTTCAGTGGGTGGGGTCTCCTCTTGCTGCGGCCCTTAGATACCCCTCCTGTGCTGCTGCTGCTGCTGCTGCTGCTGCTGCTGCTGCTGCTGTTTCTGCTGCTGACGGTGCTGAATTGGTTACTGCCAGCAGCAGCAGAACCCGATGCGTCGCCACAGGCCGTCTCTCCTGAGCCCAGCCGCTGCAGCAAACTGCGAGGAGCAGCAGCACCGGCTATCAGGGTTGTGTCCTGCTGCAGCAGCTGCTGCTGCACGCCTACACCGAGAGTGATCACGAAGGCCCCGCTGCCGTCTGCTGCTGCTATTTGCTGCGTAATGTTATGGGGCCTCCAACAAACAGCAGGTCTGCATGCGCGCTGCTGCTGCAGTTCATAGATGCTGCTGTTGCTGCGACTGGTGCTGCTGCTGCTGCCCTCTGCTGCTGCTGCTCTTGCTGCTGCTGCTGCAGCAGAAGCACTCAGAGCCTCTGCTACTACAGAAGGAGACAGCAGCGGACCCCGCAGCAGACAAAAAAGAAAGGCCCAGCCAGAGGAATCAGAAACGAGGAGACTGTCTCCTTGCGGTACCCATGCAGCACACGTTACTTGGCTTGCTGCTGCTGCTGCTGCTGCTGCTGCTGCTGCTGCTGCTGCTGCTGCTCCCCCGTGGCCGCCAGAGCCCGCGTGCTGGTGCTGCTGCAGACGCAGCAACAGAGGCAATGTTTGTAGTCCTCTTTTCCCCGAATGTTGTCGCTGCTGCTGCTGCTGCTGCTGCTGCTGTTGCTGCTGCTGCTGCTGCAGTTCTGCTGCTGGTCTCTCTAAGGTGTCCAGGCGTTGTATTTCGGTGCCGCGTGCCTCAGTTGCTGCTGCGGTGGAGGGAGCAGCAGCAGAAGCAGCAGATGCATGCGCAGGAGCAGCACTAGCAGCAGCAGGTGCAGCAGCAGCAGATACAGCAGAAGAAGCTGCATCAGCAGCAGCACTAGCAGCAGCTGCTGCAGCTGCAGCAGGACCCCGTGGCAGGCTGCGAGCCCCCAAACCAAAAGAGCGAAGCACCGGAGTAAGGACCGGCGGACCGGCCTGCTGCTGCTGCTGCTGCTGCTGTTGCTGCTGCTGCTGCTGCTGCTGCAATGCCCGCAGCAGCACAGCAAAGACAGGCAGAAAAGGATGAGCTGCAACGACACCAGTAAACTCAAATGCAGCACGCATTGAAGACAAAGGTGAGAAGACACCGTACGGGAACACAAGGCTGCTGCTGCTGTTGCTGCTGCTGCTGCTGCTGCTGCTGCTGCTGCTGCTGTCAGTGACACGAGCAAGCAAGCGGGAGTAAGAGCACAGCCGCGAGGTCTGTGTTACGGTGTATAGGGCGATGTCTCGGGATAACAACAACCCCACCCACTCTGCCAGCGACGCAACACCACTCTGCTGCTGCTGCTGCTGCTGNCTCGGGACAACAACAACCCCACCCACTCTGCCAGCGACGCAACACCACTCTGCTGCTGCTGCTGCTGCTGTTGCTGCTGCTGCTGTTGCAGCTCGCGTTCCTCGCTGCTGTCTCTTGCAAGGTAGATGGCACCTCTTGCTGCTGCTGCTGCTGCTGCTGCTGCTGCCTTCGGAGCAAACAGCGGCCGCCGAGAGCTCATCAAGTAAGGGAATGCACCCCCGGGTCCGCATGCATCACTCAATAGAGACAGCTGCAGCTGCTCCTGCTGCTGCTGCTGCTGCTGCTGCTGCTTATGGTGGTGCTGGTGTTGGTGCTGGTGCGGGTGTTGGTGCTGCTGGTGATCCTGGTGCTGATACTGCTGCTGCTGCTGCTGCTGCTGCTGCTGCTGCTGCTGCTGCAGCGAGGGGTATCTGATGAGGCTAGCGGCTTCTGCATAGCGGGTTTCTGCTGCTGCTGCTGCTGCAGCAAGTGCAGCAGCACAGCGCATGCTGTCTTGGTTTGTTAGCCCCAGCAGCAGACGAGGGAGAGAGAGGGCCCTAATACCTCTTGGGGGCCCTTCAGGTGTACATACACTCACAACAACCTCACCAGAAACACCGAGACCCGCGGGGCTGCTGTGTCTGCTGCTGCTGCTGCTAGCAGCAGCAGCAGTAACAGACCCCAGCAGCGCAGCAACAGGCAGCAACGCCCACTCCCGCTCAAATGCAGCTAAAGCAGCGGTGCTGCCGTCATCCTGATGCTCTTGCTGCTGCTGCTGCTCTTGCTGCTGCTGCTGCTGCTGCTGCTGCTGCTGCAGCTGCAGCGGCCCCAAACTGTGGGTTTGTCTGATGACTTCAAAGGCGTTGCTGCAGCTGTTGCTGCTGCATGCGCCCTGCAGCATGCAGCCAGGGAAGAGANGATGACTTCAAAGGCGTTGCTGCAGCTGTTGCTGCTGCATGCGCCCTGCAGCATGCAGCCAGGGAAGAGAGCAGCAGCAACAACAGGGATAGCTGGTAGAGGCGTTGCTGCTAGCATATGTTCAGCTACATGCATCGATATCACATGCTGCAGCTGCCGCTGCTGCTGCTGCTGCTGCTGCTGCTGCTGCTGCACTTTGTCTTGAGGGGGGAAGCAGCTGCTGAAGCGACGGCTGGAGCCCCTTGGTGTGGGGCTGTTGCATGCGGGGGTGGCGGCGTGTCTTTCATTTGCTGCTGCTGCTGCTGCTGCTGCTGTGCCCAAATACTGCTGCTGCTGATGCTGTTGCTGCTGCTGCTGCTGCAGCTGCAGCTGCAGCTGCTGCTGCAGCTCATCTGGCTCCACACGGCCGTCATGTGCCTGCCCGTTCGCGTGGTGCTCATGCATATGCAGATGATGGTGGTGTCCCCGTTGCTGCTGCTGCTGCAGCTGCTGCTGCTGCTGCATCTGCTGCTGCTGCTGCTGCTGCATCTGCTGCTGCTGCTGCTGCTGCTGCTGGTGCTCGTGCTCGTGGGGGTGGTGCTGGTGCTGCTGCGTGCGGTGCTGCTTGCTGGCCAGGTGTCTAACCCCCTGCATGAGAGCGTCGCGGTGCAGCAGCGGCCGCAGCAGCGCAGCAGTTGGTGGCTGCTGCAGCGGCAAGAAGGAGGTTTGCTGCAGCGCCCACTGCAGCCTGCTGCAGCAGCAGAGATCTCTCCACAGCAGCCCGAGGCCTTCTCCCCCCCAGCTTTCTGCTGCAGCACGAAGCATCGAGGCCCTCTTCCCTCCTGCTGCTGCTGCTGCTGCGGCGGCTGCTTCTGCTGCTGATGCAGGAGACTGGTGTGTGTGTGCGTCCAGCAGCAGCGGCAGCAATGCTGCTGCAGCAGGCAGCAGCGCCCGCATAAAGACAGGCCGCAGCTGGGTGCCTAGGAACTCTACAAAGGAGCTGCTTAAGCATGTGAGGCTGCAGCAAAGAGAATAAGCCTCTTCTGCTGCTGCTGCTGTTGTTGCTGCTGCTGTTGCTGTTGTTGCTGCTGCTGCTGCTGGGTCTACTGTCTGCTCCTGCTGCACCTTGGCGGGCGCGTTCATAAGCAAGCCTTCAAGTGTATTTCTCCGCGCGAGAGGCTGCTGCTGCTGCTGCTGCTTTTGCCGCTGCTGTCTCTGCTGCTGCTGCTGCTGCTGCTGCAGCTGCTGCAGCAGCAGCTGCTGCTGGCCCCGCAGCGCCACCGCCGTGCGGCGAGCCTCTGTCTGTAGGTGCTGTATAACCTCAAGTATGAATTCGAGGAGCCGCACAGCAACACAAGCAGCAAGAGCGAAGGCAGCAGCAGAAGCTGCTGCTGCTGCTGCTGCTTGGCCCCTTATTCCTCCTGCTGCTGCTGATGCTGCACCCGTTCCAGCAGCAGCAACCCAACGTGGCTGCAACAGCTGCTGCAGCACCTTCAACACATCCTGCTGCAGCAGCAAACAACGAGGCCGAGATAGAAGCAGCTGCAGCAGCGTAGCAGCCTTATGTACAAGCCCCAAGGTCCTGTCTTCTTCCCAGTGCGTTCTGATGCTGCTGCTGTTGCTGCTGCTGTTGCTGCTGTTGCTGCTGCTGCTGCATGTTCGTGGCGGAGGATTTGATTGGGCCTTGCCGCTGACGCTGCTGCTGCTCTGTCTAGCGACGCCGTCAGGACCTGCTGCTGCTGCTGCTGCCGTTGCTGCTGCTGCTGCTGCTGCTGTTGCTGCTGCAGTAGAGGGAACGTGCTGCAGCAGCAAGCCGTTGTCCATACAAAAGACAGACGGCATCGAAGCAACAGCACCCAGCAGCAAACTGCAGCAGCAAACAGCAGCAACCCCGTAGAGCCGTTGCAGCTCAAGTAACGATAGAGCCCCCTCAACGCAGCTCCAGTCGCTGCTGCTGCTGCTGCTGCTGCTGCTGCTGCTGCTTCTACTGCGCCTGCTACAGCTGCTCCTGTTGCAGCTGGAAACGCTGCTGCAGCAGCAGCTGCAGCAGCTGCAGTCCTGCTGCAGCTGCTGCTGCAGCTCGCTAACGCATGAAACGAGGCAGCAATACAACGCGGGGACGCTCAGCACCTTGGGGTGTATAGACGGCATCTCCAGGGTGTCTCGCAGCAGCTGCAGCAGCAGCGGCAGCAGCAGCGGCAAGCTGAAGCTTGAGGGCACCGTATCTGCTGC